ATCTATTGCACGCCGCGTGCACACTAAGACGCGCTGCGGCTCGGCGCTTTGCGCTACTGAGACCACATCATGCGTTATAGCAGTACAAACCTTGCCTTTGAAGTTGATGCAGTTGCCTTGATGCTTTTTTTTGCATTGTTTTAAGAACTTACAATGTTAATCTTCATTATTGTCGATGAGTTGACTTTTAAACCTTTGTTAGCTTTGAACAAGCTGAAAAAAAGTAGTGGATATGATACAATTTTGTGAGTTTTGTTTGTTCTAAAAGTATTATCCTTCAATCGAATGAAAAAGATCTACTTGGATGGTATATAAAACAAATAATGAATGTTTTGCATTCGTGCAATGGTGAGAATATTTTCATTCGTTGAAAGATAGAATGTTCCATTCAATCTTTCAACTCGTGAAAATATTCTCACCATTGCATTCATAAACATTCATTATTATTTTGTATAATATTAGGCTTAGTTTTAAAACTGACAAAAACTAGTTAAAGTGTGGTAGATTTGACAAAGCTGTATTACGGACACGGTAAACAAACTCCATCTTACTTCCGCTAACGCACCCATCTTCGTAAACATCGGCAATCGTGGACCCCCTATTGTCCCTAATCCTCATTCCTTTGTTTGTACTTTTTAGCAACAGCTCTATCATTGGTTTTGTACACGAATTCCAATCGTGGACGTTCGGTCAATCGTAGACGTGTTGTTTGTGCCCTAACCCTTTTGTCCTCAGTCCAGGATTGCCTAATAACTCGTACGTGCGAATTATAACTTGAACGTACGGGTTATTATTTACAAAGCGTACGTACGGATTATAAGTCGGACGTAGGAGTTGTAAGTCGTAAGTACTCGGAAGCACAAGTACTCGTACTCGTACTCGGCAACCTAGGTACTCGGCAGTACTCGGTACTCGGCAAAAAAGTACTCGACTACAACACTGATAAGAACCCGTTATTATTATGACTATATTATTATTTATTAACATGAAATCGAAAACTTCACTCTGCATGTTGCCACTTAAATCATTGCCCCTTCCCTATTCACATCTTGTACTTCCTTTCCTCTCATTAAGCCACTAAGGTGGACGATTATGTATGTTCCCTTCCCATCATGCTTCTGATTGTAAGAGGTGTTTGTTACAATGTATAGTTATTGCATTCAGCAGCCATCTTTGAGGTATGCTTTAATGTTCATTCATTAACGAGATACTAGAAATAACTCCGCTCGAATGGAGTCCATTAAAACGTACACAAAATGATTGAGATAACGACTACCTAGCTACAAGCTCACGACCAGAACACTCTTAAAAGTCCCGAGGTCAGATTCCTGGTCAGAATTGATCTGAGACCATTTAGGGTCCAAATTTGATTTCTCCAAGTCACTTTTGTTCGAGCAATTGTGATAACTACTAACAAGCTAAAACCTCACGACGAGAACACTCTTAAAGTCCCAGGTCAGATTCCTGGTCAAAATTGACCCGAGACCATTTAGGGTCGAAATTTGACTTCTCCGAGTCACTTTTTTCGAGCAATTGTGAAAACTACTAACAAGCTACAACCTCACGACAAGAACACTCTTAAAAGTCCCAGGTCAGATTCCTGGTCAGAGTTGACCTGACACCATTTGGGTTAAAATTCGACTTCTCCGAGTCCTTTTTTTTTTCGAGCAAGTGGACCCGGAAAGTGTCGTTTTGATTAAACACAAAACGAGTAAACGTACAAACCAAAATAAGTTTAATTGTTGCACGTTCTTCAACCTAGGAAAATGCAGGTCAAAAATCTGGCCCGGATTCCAGGTAGATTCTTACCGGGTGGGTTTTCTTAACCTTGCGCAGCGCTTACAAAAAAACTTTACAACAACTCGTACTTTTCCGCACTACCCAAGACCCTATTCATAGCAATACAACAAAAAGCCACGTGCCAGACAGTTGCCAGACAGTGCGCTGGAAAGATAATTGACTGGCGGCTGTGGTATGCAGTTGTATGCAGTTATGAAGGGAGATGGCTGTGTCAAGTTACAGGTCTTTGTTGACGTTTCAATTAGACTTGGCAGGAGGCCTGGTCGAAAGTTTGTTGACACGGCCTGGGTGAAGCCCTGGCTGTAAAGTTCATTAAACCAGCTTATTTGGCAAGGGTCGAATGAGGATTAGATGGAAGGTGACCGTCATTGGCCCTCATTTTTTTTTTTCAAAAAATTCGGTTACCTGGGGCCCAAAGGGTCAACTCTGCGCAGGGTTTTAAGCTGTGGCAGGAGCTTCTACATGTCACTTGGTACTCGGTCGGTCGGTCTGTACCCGGAAAATTGACCAAAATAAATCCCCCAAGTCAGTTCCCATAAACTATAACTACCAAATTTTAATTTTCCAAAAAAAGCGCTTACAACATTAATTAAATATTTAAAGGGAAAATACAACATTTGCAAATATTAAAAAATAGATATACCAAATTATTTTGAAATACGTTGCTGGACTGTTAGGCCAAAAAAAAAAGTCTCCGGTTTCTGGTATGCGCGCGCGTCGCCGTAGCCATGCGCGTCGGCAAAATGAAAAAGGTTTTTTTTCAATACAAGATGATGTTTCAAAACCGCCAAACTCACTGGTTTGACTGGAATTCTGCTGCTGCACAATTTTAACGTGTTTTTAGATGGGGTTATGATCGAGAATAAGATTTATGTGGCCTCTCTGGACTCCCATATATTTGCACTAAGTTTAGTCGGGCACCATTTGCAGTCATCAGCCGACATTTGAAGCCAAAAGAAAAAAAAAAACAGGTAAAAAAAAAAAAAACGCCGCGTCGCCGCACCACTTTTGGGGCAAGCTCCATACCAGAAACCGGAGACTTTTTTTTTTTGGCCTTAGTGAATGACAGTCTTAAGTATCCTGTAAAATCATGACACCTGGTATACTGTCAAGTTCAAGAAAAGTGGTATTTTTGTACCAATTTCCAACGCTGGTCGACCGACCAACGCTGGTCGGCCGACCAGCGTTGGACAAAACTGGCTATTTTTCAAATAGTGGCCCCAATTGACCATATTTAGTTAAGCCGCATTTGTCTGCAATCGATTACACACCTATGAACGGGTACAAGCCAGTTAGACTGGTTCCATGACCTAACAATTCCCAATGTCTATACATTGCTCTGTTTCATCTTAAATGGAGTCAGGGAACCAGACTACAGGAAAATGATTGTTTTCTTAGTTTTTATAGCATGTACGAACCCAAAATATCAAAAAAGTCAATGTAACAATATTTGCTAAATTTACTAATCCCCAAATCCATCCATTTCTGAAAATTACAGCAAAAGCAAATGATGTATATTCCTTTAAGAAAAATTGTAACAATTTGGAAAGATGTTTATGATCGGTTTGTAAACGGAGGCAAAATATGTGCAGTAGTGTTATGGTCACATAGTCACGTGGTGTTTATCAATTTGCTATGAAATCTAGGTATAAATCTAAAGTATGGTGATCCATATGTGCCATCGGCGTCGCATTTTGGGCGTCGCATTTTTAAGCTGTGGCAGGGATCGTTTTGATAGATTTCATGCAAGACTTTCATGCAAGACGGCCAGAGAGCTTATTGTGCACTCGCAGTTGTGGTTTGTTTTAATTACTGCCAACGACTTTGTCCTATTTACACTACAGGTACATTTATTTTCACAATATTTTAATCGGTATTATACACAGCACGGTATTATACAGAACAGAACATTATCCGAAACACAATACGTGAACCATAATATCATAACAGTCCATGTGTCAAGAAATTCATTACTTATTTACAAACATAATGTCCAGACAAATTTTCAATGACCACGAAATATGGTAATCATCCTTAGTTAATTAAAAGCGGCCATATTATTCTGTTTGAACTCCACCCTGGCATGCGTTGCCTTATCATTTCTTCGACTTTCATCAAATCCAGGGTCACTGTCATGCTTTTTTTTGTGGGGGGGGGGAGGGAACCACTCCTTTTCCGTCCGACCAATAGTAGGCTTTTATCTGGAAATTATCGGCAACCGTACATTTATCACATGAAACAACGGTGTACAGCACGGCAAATCTTAGTTCACTGCTGAAGGCCCTTTGTTTCTGCATATGCAATGAATGATTGGCTGCAACACCTCCCGAAAAATCTTGGGCTTCTACATCCCTGCGACCCCCTTTGAAAATCCTGGATCTACCATTGTCACGGTCCTGCCCTAAGCAAGTACCGGTAATCGGTAAAGAGTACTTAGTTCAGGATCAACGCCGATTCCTTGCTTATACCCATAAAAATGCGCTTCTCGTTAACCCAGGATTTTCCGCTGCACAGTTCGCAGGGATGCTCCTTTAATAATAATGTTAAAAGCAGATGCCATAAAACTGGGCCCTTGACAGCAAAGGTTTGCACTTCAAACCTGTGTCCATCGCCGTCAAACGAGGGCGCTGTTCATGAGACTGACCCACAGCAAAAGACATATAATAGAACCTAGACACGACATTATCTGCTTTTACGTTGTAAATTCTGTGAGCAAAACGGGCTGCGTCACGCGGCTTAATTACGCAATGCTCGAACGTCATGCATATGGCTTCGATTTACGCGCATACTTCTTAGTTATTCTATACGCGCAGCATTTTGCTCAGAGGCGCAATAGCAAATGTCATGTCTAGGTTAATATAGACTTGACTCAAGTCAGAATTGCTTTAAGTCGGTATCTTAATTTAAAAAAAAAAAATGCAAAAATCACTTAGTTTACGTCTTTCCAGATGCCCGACAAGGTACACTTCAGCGCGCATTCCACTTCAGTGCCGTATAACAATGCGCACACACATTGTACAACACGCGTATTACACGTACATGTCACTGCATGTGTGTGCATGTATTTCAGAGCATGTGCATACATGTGGTGCAAAAGTTAGCAATGGGTTGCTGCATCACTTGAAAATAACATGTACATGTACGTTTTTATCGTGATGGTCCGGATTCGACGCATGAGGGCGCGCGTTATGTACTGTAAGTATGCGATATGCGCTGTGAGTGGATTTACTATATAGGCACAGACCGAGCGCAACCCAGACTTGGCCAAGTCTCAGGTTAATATGTCTATGCCCACAGCCGTCGCTGACGAAGAGGGCGAAGGCGAAGACCTTGACAGTAATGGTTAGCACATCAGACCTGTGTGTCCAGCTCCGTCAAACGATGGCGCTCTTCATGGGACTGACCCGCGGCCGTCGCTGACGTAGAGGGCGAGGACGACAACGACGTGTGCAGCTGACGGACCTTGTCCCTCCACAGCGCCCTCACTTGGCCATTGAAGGCGAACGACAGGAATACGAAGAAACCCTGGAGTGAACTGAAGATGGTGAATAGATACCATAAGACCTGAAGGTCACTCACCATTGCGATGAAGCCAAGGATCCAAGCAAAGCTCAGCAAACTAGTAATCTATATAAACAAAAATCAATTTTATTTGCCCAACATTTGCCTTTAATTTTCTTGGTTAATTCGGGTCGAATTTGACCAACCTAGTGAATAGAATTTCCCGAAGAGTGTACATGTACATTGACCAACACTGTCCTTCATACCAACCCATTTGCTCAACTATATGGTGTATATTGTGAGCACACTTGCATCCCCTTAATGCCCATGGGTAAATCCAATCTTGTTTGTACACTCGATCCGTTTCAACCTTTGTCTCTATACTTCGTTTCAAAAATATAAAACAACACTGGATAGGTGGTGAAGTTGGTACTGTACCTTTGCGTAGATAACAAGCTCACGCCAAACTATTTGAGCTCTAGGCATGTTATTGTTGAGCATAGCTGAAGCTTTCTTGGATGCACGGATGCCTCTTACTGTCAACACAAAGCAGAGGATGTTGAAGCAGATGCACAGTAGAATTGGAGCGTGGAGAACAGCCAGCTTGAAACTGCCCAACATCCAACAAGCGACCTCGTCTCCGTAGGTGAAATCAACGCCAGTGCACTCGCAGATATACAACACTAGGTTGGGAACGATAATCAGCATTGGTGAGCACCAGCCGAAGAGGCACATACGAAGGAACTTACGCCTGTCGCTGAATTTGGTGGCGGCTGGTTTGGCGGTGGTGAAAGTACGCATGAAGTCCCAGGAAATGACAGCCATCCAGGCAAACATTGCCAACCAGGCGTAGTGAGTGGTGATGGCCACCGCGGTGCACAGGCCTTGGTGGGAAGGCTTGACCACAATGCTTGATAGAGTCGAAGACAGCTGACCAAAGAAAATTGTCAGGGACAGACTCATAATGGCTTGACCATGGACATTCCTCAGAGAAGGAAAGACACAATAGGTCGACAGGGTCACTACCAGACCGGCCATCGAAAGACTGAAGCCTACCATGTTGATTACCAGTTCTGGGTTAGAGAACGTAAAGGGATCCCGAGCATGATTCACATCCTGGTCCAACGTGGAAAAACACACCAATGTCTCCCCACTGGCCAACATCACTTTGGCATCTTGATTCGCTATCTCATTTGCATCATCATCATTTAAAGTTTTACACGTTAGATTACTTGGTCTCTCCCCACAAACACGGATTAACGTCGATTTAGTGGTGTCGTTACGGCGAGTGATGTAACTTGTGTTCCTTTCTATTTTTACAGGAGCCACAAGCTCACCGGTACTCATAAAATAGACAAACATATCTCCAGAGAAGTTCAGTGTTTTCCAGTTTCTGTCCTCGACGATAAAGCATTGGCTGTCACTCACATTCCTGCCTGGCGGTTGAGACATTTGGCATTCCTCGCTCAACACAACCTGTGAAAGATTGCAGCGACCAGCCCAATCAGTTCTGAGAGGATACCCATCCAAGCGCAGGATACTATCCAAGACTTTCTCTAGCTCATCGATATAAGACAAAGACGCGGAGGGAAAGCCACTTGCGTTCAAACTCTCCTCGCCAAAACGTAAAACTAATTGTAGTTGAAGCATTGAGGTAACGTTCAGTGATACCTGGCTGAGATTTGAATGAGACACTGCGCCAACCAGACATTCCAATGACTCCCAACGGGTAAGACTTCCACTCAGGATTTCTTGTGTACGGTCCCGGACCCTGACTTCTAGAAAAAACTGTTTCTGATCACAAACGATCTGTGTGTCCTGGCTAAAGGGTTGGTAATAATGACGTTCCACGGGTCCTACTTCGAGGGGAATCCGCTGAAAGGTTAAAGTGGTTTGAAGAATGACATCGGGGGGATCCCTTTTCACAACTTTGAAACACACACTTGATTCAGTTGTGTCATTTCTAGTGGTGTTGCACAACTTGCAGTGAGGGTTTTTATACTTCTCGACAGGTGCCATGTAGCTCTCGCACAGCTCCCTGACGACATCCGTGTCTTGACTGTCGCAGGAGCCAATGAGCTGATCGCACGGCTGCAATTTACTCTCCAGAGGATCGTCTATGAGAACCAACGTGGTGTTATGATTAGTTGGTATGGTTTGATTTTGTAGCACGCCGTGGCAGAATGCGCATCTGGAGTTCTTAAAAGGGATAGCCTTCGGCAGGTACAGAACAGGTTGAAACTCGGACTCGCATTGCTGGCTGATGTCATCGTCTACCCATGTGCCGGGGCACGTGCTGACCAGACGGTAGTTCGAACCCTGGCGAAATTCCACACACCGATAGTCACGGTGTGACAATAATGAGTGGTTTGACAATGTTGAGGAAAGAAACTCGTGATTGGTTGCGTTTGTGTCCACGGACAAAAATTGACATTCACTGTCGACGTCAAAGCAACAATCTCGAAACACGTGGCACATGACGTCACATCCGCACTGGTCAGTGGTTGATGGCTGGCCACAGCGACTATTGCATGTCTGGTCTGGGTGGAGACTTACTGTCACACCATTCAATGTTACATCTGAAAACAAAAGAAAATAACACCAAATGATTGTTGTAGTTTGCTTAAGATTTCACTGAATTGTTATTTTCTTCATTGTTTTCATGTCGGATCTTTAAATCTGAATTTCAGCTCCTCAGCACCCGAGCCTTTACACACACACTGTGTAGTATTATACTTTTTCATGACCTTGAACTTCGATAGAGGTTTTTGCCTGGAAATATTATCCCCAGTTTTGGCGTATTTAATTTAGTCCAGTCTGACAAGCCAAGATAATTGTAAGATGAGTGAAGGGATATTTTCTTTCGTGAAGTTGCGTCAACATTTGTGACAGTAGACAGGTGCGGTCATTGTGTAAGCTTGAAGTCTGAGCAAACTGGATCATAACATATAGTGAATCACAAACCTAGACTACAGTAGATTTTCAGGTTGTATCCATTCAGCATCCAGCACCGGTCTTCAGCCCTCAGCCACACCGACTCGCTTTTAAATGGATACCGTAAAATGTATTCCATTGCCCCGCTCCGGTGGATCAAGTCAGTCTTGGCGACCTCGATGAAGCAATGAGATCCGAGCATTTGACAGACTTTCACCGCGACCTCGTGGATACCACGCGCGTAGACGCAGGCCGGGCCCCAACCGCCTGACGTCGGGTGCCGAAGCTCCAGCGTGCCGGAGAAGCCACTTGATCCGTTGACGAGCCGAATGTCGAAGACATCAGTAAAATTTGCGTTGGTAGATATGACTTCGTCATCTGCAAACAAAGTGTTTTATGGTAAAAGTCATGCAATTATTGACCAGGTAATAAAGTCTTGGGCTTAGACTGCATTCGATGAATGCCTTCTATGCCATCTTGAAAACCTGCCACTTGAGCCAAGAAATCCTAGGGCATATTTGGCGCCACAGTTGCAACAAGTCTATGAGTTTTGATACTCCAGTCGTGTCGAGTCATTAAGGAAGTGATTCCAATCTAGTCGAGTTTTGAACTCGAGTGTTAAGTATTTGCCTTTGACTCGAGTCCAGTCGAGTCTGCTGATGAAGGACTCGAGTCGAGTTGAGTCATTTGCTCACACTGACTCGAGTCGAGTTGAGTCAGTTTAACACCCATTTGGTCTTGAGTCAAGTCGAGTCGCCAAAAATTGTGACTGGAGTCGGACTCGAATCGAAACTGAACTCAAGTCATTTCAACCCTGCCTGACGTGTGCGCCTTGGCCGCGCATGTCGGATAGGCTTTATAAGTGTAAACAAAATATATTCCAAATCAAATCCTGGCCCAAATTAAGACTAGGCCAGATATTATTATGTAGATCGGATCGGCCGTGATATGATCTTTGTTTTCAACTTGTGATATGGTTCGACGTCCATCGACATCAAAATAGTGTTTATCTTTAGCGGTGTATTATATCAGTGGCCTGATATACCACATGAAGAAATATTAAAGTCAGCCTAAAAATGACCACGAGAGCAGTGTCGCAAACTTACCTCCAGCACAAGTGAATTCCACATCGCCAACTATGCAAGACGGTTCCGGCTGTAGACAGCTGCGTTCAAGCGCCAATTTGAAGCATGTTCTCGGGTCTGTGTCCTCTGTGTCACAATGTTCTGACCTTACTGTGGGGACGTTCTGAGCCGGTGGCCCGATCGTACAGGCACCCATGGGACCTACGGCCAATGGGTAGCCGAGGTATTGGCACATTCCATCAGCTAGGAGGTCCGTGATTTGCTCATGTGTACACCGTGTCATCCTGGCCCAGCCGGCCGTGCCCAGGTTCACTTCCACCCGTCCTTCACGCGCCGAGCACCCGCCAGACAGCCGAAGCTGATCTGTGACAAGACAAGAATCATTTCTAACAATACCAAAAACAAATCGCACTAACGACCAAAAAAAAAACATATTTCTTTTACAGTTTCAAATCAATAGTCTGGTTTGATAGAAAAGAGAACAACAAAAGAGAACAACAAAAATATACACACCTACCGTGACCGCCTCGTATAAACAAAAATGACCTACTCGTGTTAATGGGCCCATGTAATGTATTTTTTAATACAATCCTCGACAATGAACCTTTGTGTCCCATTTAACCTTAATTTCGCTTGTTTTGGTTTGTCATATTAAAGGGCATTTTTGTGCCCTTTATGTTTTTATGCTTATGCAATTTCCCATATTCATGATCAAAACAGTGATGGCATTCCAGGCAGAAACCTTATAAAGGGCGAGTCAAAAAATGAGGAAACCCAATTGGCCCACACAAATTATTTATTTAAGTTCTGCATGTAGCACTTTCAAAGTCAGGGATTGGAAAGCCTAATTAATGAGTTTTTTTTCAGTAAAAGAATCATTCAAATCACTCATGTACATTTCAAGTTAGGGAATTTTGAACACAAACAAAGTTCTGTCCATAGCGCACGGATCACAAAAAGGTAAGCGTTCTTAATTCATGTACATCCCGATTTAAACTGTTTTCATTTTGCGGAAAGAACACTTACCTTTTTTTTGGATATTTCCTATATTCACTGGTTGCCATGGTTGGAGATGCCGCATATAGCCGGGGGGAAGGGGAAGTGTAAGGGGGTACCCCCCCCCCCCTTCAATATTTTGTAAATACTGCCCTGATGCACACACTTGCCCTTTTTAACTATTGAATCCACCCCCCCCCCCCCCCCCAGTTTTAAAAAGTGGGTTGTTGTTTTTTATTACGAGTTCCTTTTTGGAATTTCGCGCGACCTTAAATGTGCCGCCCTGGAAAGCGCCACCTATTGTCCAATAGTGTCCAATTAGTCCGGTTTGAACAGCGCCCTCACAGTCCTATGTCAGGACTGTGTTTTCGCTCGTACCCCCCGCCCTGCAAACAGGACGCTGGGATACTCTGATGAGCTTCACAGAATCTTGTGAAGGAAGTGGCCTATGACCTATGTTTAAAGCATCTGGCTGCAGCTGTTCAAGACCGCAGTTAGACCGTGTGCAAATGCTATCAGAAAACTTCCCATAGAACTTTGCGCACATTCCATACCGGATGTGATTTCTGTTTCATTGCGGACCATGTGGACAAAATTTTGAGCGTCGCATAATGCAATCCGACCGTTCGTGATTCGAAACGGAGCCTGAGCGAGTGACGGGAATTGTAAATTTACAACACAGATAAGTTTTACAGAATTTCCTACATTTTTACTAAAGGTTTTTCAACGAGAAAAAAATACCTCTAAACTGGAATACAAGAGTAATGAATCAGTCTTAACGGCCGTTTCAAACCTTGCAGAGTCATGACCTTGATGACGCGCAGGTCACTCGTGACGTAAAATCCAACCAATCAGAGCGTGAATTCATCAGAGTATCCCAGCGTCCTGTTTGCAGGGCGGGAGGTACGAGCGAAGACTTGTGTTCTTGATCTTTTTTCTTGTGGGAGTGTGTGGGGAGTGTGTTTGAGGTGGTGGAGCTTGAGGGTTTGGCAAATCACCAATTGTTTAAGTCATTGACCAGAATGACTGACGTGTGTACAGTCGGCTGCCCTTAGTGAGAGGTTGTAGATTTGTTTTTAACATTTATGCGACTGAACAAAACAACAGGAATCATTGAAAAATAAATTTGCATAAAATAATATGTCGTTGTTGCTAATTAACTTAATATGCATGTTTGTAACTACCGACAAGCTGCCGATAATCTTATATCAGTCTGGCGACCTTGTATCATCCAGGGTTAATTAATTGACCAACTTGGTGCCGGATAACGCTGGAATGGAGACTTACCTGTGACGCATGTTAGTGATAGATCAGAATCGTGACCGCAGTTGTGAGTAGAATTCGCGCCCCAAGC